TTTTCGGAGCATTCTGTGGTTGGGTGGGCGCAGCAGAAGGGCGTACAAGTCCTCTTTCAAAGAAAGAATCGGGAAGACCTGCTGCTTCCTCGGAACTTGAACCAGTCCCGCCTGCCCCCTCAGAGGTTTCTGTTTCTTCAGAATCAAACTCTTCTTCGCTACCAGTTGGGAGGGTCGGTTCCTTTCCTTTTCTTGAAGATTCAGCAGCCTCTTTGCCTCGGGGTGACATCGCTACTTCCTCGGAACTTGAATCAGTCTCGCACGCCCCCTCAGAGGTTTCTGTTTCTTCAGAATCAAACTCTTCTTCGCTACCAGTTGGGAGGGTCGGTTCCTTTCCTTTTCTTGAAGATTCAGCAGCCTCTTTGCCTCGGGGTGACATCACGGCTTCACGGGTCACTTCTATTGCTTGCCGTGGAGCTACCTCTTCCTCTGAGTCTGATATTCTCCTACGTCGAGTGATAATATTAGCGGCTATCAACCACTTGCAATACAGGAAGGTCATCCGTAGAGGCGGTGCTTCTAAAGGAAGATCAAATTCAGCATTTGTACAGCCGGCGATGCTCCAAAACCAAGCTCTCGCCCCGTCGATAAGTCCACCTCGGCTTCTAAAGGAAGATCAAATTCAGCATTTGTACAGCCGGCGATGCTCCAAAACCAAGCTCTCGCCCCGTTGATAAGTCCACCTTGAAAGCTAAGGTGACGATTCGGGTTGCCGACGTATATTTGATCATAGCCGAATTGATGAGCAAATCGACATGGAAGGTAGGGTTCAATGTGACAAACATCTCTTACTCTGAACAATAGATATCCAGGTCGAATGTTCATCAACCATCTGAAGCATCCGACATCCAAGATGGTGCGATTCTGCCTTGGGTCTTCAGCATCCAGTAAAGTCGTGTTGTAGGTACCGGAGAATCGAGGGAAACAAGGGAATAATTCCCAACACTTGTGAATTTTAAACTGCCTTGTGATGTCCGGCCATCGATGTCTGACCCATTTGCAACCCTCAAGATTCTGCAACAGAGGAAGGCTGGGATCTATCGTCTCATGAGCTTCCATTAAATCTGGCCGGTGAAGTACTAACCAGGTCATTAGATAAGTGTAGGGCAGCTCCAGCTTCGGAACGGATAGGCTGGCGGAGGGTTTCTTTTTCTCCTGGGTAAACACGGAGATTAATTGTCGTAATCCACTGTGAATAGTAGCCACCATAGCAGGAAGCAAGGATAATTTGCGACCTGTAGCTAGCTGGACGGCTGGATACAATACTTCCATTGGCATCGCATCGGAAGATTGATGGGGAACCACACACCTCTTCAACCATAAGGCCAAGAAGCCAGCAAGCAAGGTGGTAGGATGAATCGGGACACCAGCTTGCCACAGATAAGGGCGGAATTTAGTACCGTGCAAAAATCCGTCTTCTGAGCGAGAGGTGTAAGATTGCGTATTGGTTTTCTCTAACAGCCGATTGATTTCACCTGAACTCAAAGGAGACAATCCGCGTACCTCTTATGAACGGTCATCCAGGTTCTTGAACAGATAATCGGCGAATTGTTTTAAACTGATCTGGGGGGGTTTCTTCCTAGCTTTAGGCTCCATCTCGGCCATAGCTATGTGATAATGGCAGGTCAATTCCCATAAAGTGTCATGGGTCACAGCTGACCGATCTTTCATCTTGTTCAGCTGACTGGTAGTTGGGAAGAACTCTTGACATGGAACATCGCCCATGGGCAAACCAGACACCTTCATCATTTCATGCAGTGGTAGTCCGAGCTCCCTATTCTTGGTAAAGAACGTATTAGTGTCCGGGTTGTAGATCTCGAACAAACGGAGGAAATGACCTACACTGATCTGCAGACCATACATAGTGGCACGGATTGGGACTTCCAACCCTAGTTCTGCTAACTCTCACCCCCAACGGTTCAACACATAGAGAGTCATTCTGCTCCACCACCACTTGTCTCCAAAATAATGGACCCATCCATAACATCTGAAATTCTCTCTGGGTAATATTTTTCCCGCTGCCGCTAACCGGTTTTTCACGGTGTTGGCATGTGTTGTCTTTTCATTCTGTGGAATATTGTCTTGACCTAAGATGCCCGGATGAAGTCCCCGCACAGAAGCTCTTTCGCTGGAACCCGGGGTGGTCTCTTTCCCAATGAAGCCACAGTGAATACGTTCATGGTTCTCGGTCAACCTCCAGAACATTTCACGTCCAACTGACAAATTCCTGAACTTTAACAGTGAGTGCTCTCGAGGGATAAAAGGCAAGTACAGAAATGACGAACCATCCTCGTGTAACCACTGCGCAGGCTTGCAGAAAGCAATCCCCGGATCCTTTATGGAGTCACCAAATAAGAAGTCTGGTTTCCTTATACATTGGTTTGAGTCCTGCTCTAAAATTAAGGTTGCATCCGTGATTAACCATCGCAGAACACGACAACTACCTCGCCGGATCAACTCTCTAGCCCCTTCGCTATAGTCAGATTTGAACTGGGGAGATGATTCGATTAACGGTAGCCCCCCATAATAGGAGTGGGTAGTGCTACTCTGACCCGTAACCGCATCAGCAATAAAGATGGTAGAAGGAAATTGGACTGATAAAGAAAATATACATAAATTGTGTAAGAATGGTCCTAAAATTTTAGAGAAAGTGGTATATCTTGCTCCATAAGATATAACAGTTATCTCATAACAGGTGTGACGATTTTTCATCTACCACATGTATAAAGAAAATATGCGTTACTATGCACGGGTATTATAACGGCATACCAAAACCTTTCAATACATGTGGGATGATATGAAATCGCCCCTGTGTATCCTGAAGTGTGTTTTGTCCAAGCAAAACAAACACTTTTAAGCGTCGATCCCCTCAAAGGAGGATACCGGCTCTTCTCGAATGTATCTCAAAGGATACAAACGAGGATCTGCATACAAACACAGATATATATACATGAAATTGGTGAAATACAGTATGTAAATTCGTGAGAGGGCAAAAGAGATATACCCCCATGTGAAACGGCGACAGCGGGATCAGCCTCTTCAGGAGACTGAGCAGTCGAACGGCCTAGGGAACCTCTGGATCGATGCGGCGACATGAGGAAACACAAGCTACATTGAAACCCAAGAGGAAAGTTAGGGTGTTGAATGTGGAATTGGCCAAAATATCACAAAATATGGTTGAAACAGTGCATGCAAAGTTGAAATCAAAGAAAATCAAGACTTTAAAGAAGAGAGGGAGTACAAACCTAGAAGAACTTGCCGAAATCCAAGTGGAATCTCCCCTAAACGGAGCCCTACCCAAATCAGAAACAAAGAGGAAAAGAGAAGGCAGGAAATTGGTCGAAAATCCCAAGGAAATCGCCCAAAAAATCGCCCAAAATCCGAAGTAAAAAACCTCAGAAAAAACCCTAAGTCAGGGTTTTATAACCCCCGACTCGACCGAGCGAGACAGATTTTACTGTCTCGCTGTGTGAGACAGACTTTACTGTCTCGCACCGCGAGACAGACTTTACTGTCTCGCACCGCGAGACAGATTTTACTGTCAGACAGTATAAGCTGTCTCGTATCACAAGACGGCAATGATTGTTTGAGTATAATAGGCGATATCGTGCTGTTTTGATACACATGGATACTCCAATGGGTACACGAGTCTAAACTGTTTTCCTACATTCGACGGGAAGTTTCTGGAGAATATTACTCTTGATATTCTTAAGGATAACCTGACGAACTCTCGAGAGACAAATAAGCATCAATCTGGAAATACCAACTTCAATTCAAGATCTCAACAACGGTCGAGCGATAAACGCAGTGCCGGAGAAGTATTAGCTATTCTACAAAGAACTGAATAGACTAATGGATGAAGAGATTAAGAACCGAAGCCATTTTACAGATTCTTCGACACGATCTACTCAACCAAGCATTGAAGGGATCGTAAGTAAAATCTCATGCTCCTCTATAAAAGAATGAGTCTGGAATACTTTGGAGGGGGTATCTGTAGGCGTCAAAAAATGCTAATAGGTATCCCAAACATAGAGAAGATCACTCAAAAAATCATAAGAATTGATTTCATACTGTTCTTGGAAAATCAAGACAGGTATGAACTGTCTCGCCAGCGAGACAGGCTTTGCTGTCTCGCCAGCGAGACAGTGTATACTGTCCCGCCAGCGAGACAGTGTTGAAATGGTCAAAACCACCTTAAATAACTCCCACCCACGTGTCCATTAACTGCCAAGGGACGTGGAGAACATCGTGGGCGAAAATCACGTGAATAACTGCCAAAATAACGGAGTTTGAAACGTGGGAAGGCAGTTAAAACGAAAACTGCTAGGAATATTCTTTTTTCGATACAGCATTTACTATCTCGGGCCGAGACAGCAAACACTGTCTCGCCCGCCGAGACAGTAAACACTGTCTCGCGGCCTAATTTCGCCGTTTTGTTGAGTTTTTGCAGTTACAGACCCCAGAGGCTATAAATACCCCCCTAGGGTCATTTCTGATGAGGATCGAGCATATTTTCGAGCAATTCAGAGCAGAGAGAGCAGACTTGAGTTCTTGGTGTGATTCCCTTGAGATTCGAGCTTTGACTTGATTTCAAGAAGAACGACTATCTTACTTTGATAAGATATCGTTTCAAATTCTCACTTCGATAAACGAAGGAAGAATCATTAAACCCCCTTCACGTTCTATGATTCGGCGGTCCACGAACCAAAGCGTTCCCGGCACAGAGAATCGATAGACGATTTTTGTGTTATTTTCTCAAAAGTTGTAATTTTTACTTTGTTGTGTAGAAAAGGTCTTATAAAAAGACTATTCCTTTGAATTTGTTGTAATCGACTGAAGATATATTGAATTCCTCAACAAAACCAATTTTTGACGAAAACAATTGTAACATACAAATGTTTCTCAATTAACCTCACATAGTTTTGCATCACACCATCATAAAATAAAGTACATGAAATAGAAAAATGCATAACATAAGATAGTATACCTAATACATTGCATCACATGCCTACTTCATTAGTATTCCCTCCCTTATATTTTCCACAATAATCAACCCACATTGCCCAAGCTATTTCATCTCTACGATCCTTCCATACGATTCTTGATTGTGTTTGCTCCCTTAGAGTTTGGGGTTGAGAGAAATCAACAATATTATTCTCATCTTCCGTAGCAACATCACCTTCATCATCTTCGATCTCAACGGTCTCATTGAATATGTCATCATCCGGGTCCACCATTGCAATATAATTGTGAAGAACTGCACAAGCTAATACGATATCCACTTGTGCGCGGAAAGGGTAATGAGGCTTTGCGGTAAGAATTTTGAAACGATTCTTCAAACAACCAAATGTAGATTCGATCTTAGACCTTAAAGAAGAATGTCTAAGATTGAACAATTCCCTTCTATTTTTAGGTGTTCTTCCTATTTGTTCCTTCAAATGGTAACGAACACCACGATATGGGGAGATGAAACCCGGCATGGTCGTGTATCCCGCATCACACAAGTAATATTTTCCTACAATTTATATGATGTGAAAGTGTTTAGTAGAATTTTTTGTCATTTCATTGAATATCATTTATTAATTGAAGTAATTAAAACAAAATTGAAGAATTGATGAAATTACCATCATATACTTTCAAACCATGAGGTTGTGGCCTAGACAATGCATCTTGAAGGACTCTAAAGTCATTTGCAGAACCTTCCCATCCAGCTAATACGTAAGTGAATAACTTGTTTGGGAAGTAATTAAAACAAAATTGAAGAATTGATGAAATTACCATCATATACTTTCAAACCATGAGGTTGAGGCCTAGACAATGCATCTTGAAGGACTCTAAAGTCATTTGCAGAACCTTCCCATCCAGCTAATACGTAAGTGAATAACTTGTTTGGGGTACAATCCACTAAAACATTTTGTGTAACACCTTTTCGACCACGGAATCGTGGTTGAAGATTAGCAGGTAGCATAGCATCAACATGTGTCCCATCTATCATACCAATACAATCCTAGAGGACAAAAAATTATTATTGAATATTTTTAATTAAATTAGATGAACATGCTTATAATCACAAATTAAAGAGAGAATACCTTGAAATAAGGATAGTATAGAGGGTTGCTAAGGATCTCCTGTGGAACTTCATTCTGTGCTTGTCTTAAAAAGCGTGATCGTATGAGGCAAATTGCTTCTAACACTTTGTTGAAATACCTACTCACAGTCTCACCAGATCTAATAAAATGTGACCTAATACTTCGATTTTTAGTTTTATGCCCCAAAATATTCAAAGTCATAGCAAGTTGCTCCTCCACTGTAACATGTCTTGAGTCTCGCAATAAATCATTCCTCCTCATTATCCCTGCAAGCTTCACAAAAGCACCACTACGCATTCTAACATAGTTGACACAACTATCACTAAATCCATTATATATACGATCCAAGTGTTGTTTTCTATTTTGATATTGTTTTGTTTTCTCAACACTAGGACCT